ATATATTATGAGAATAATATATTAAAGGAGAAATCATATTGTTTAATTAATATTAGTCAATAATTAATTGGTAATTAGTTTTGTGACTAAAAGAGATTAATTAAACTTAAGGGACTGGAATTATAATTATAAGATAACTGCAATTTGGGCTATGGATTGTCTTAAATTAAGGGGTGGACGAATTCTATGGGGAAGCCCATAAGGAAATCGTCCAAGGCCTTAATTAAAGGAGTATATGGGTTTCTTAGGGCTTAAGCATCCAAATTAGGGTTTCCTTGTTAGATAACCCTAATAGCCTCACTATATAAAGACCCCTTATGACCCAAAAACGTGGAGAAGCTTTCTTCTACAGTTAGAACACGTTTTGGGCAGCCTCCATCCTCTCTCCTCTTCATCCTCTTGCTTATGGTGTTTGTGAACCATTAGAGGAGTGACATTTGTGACTCTAAGCTTTCTAAAGTCAATACAAGGAGGAATTGGGATTGTTATTGCTACATAACAATCAAGGTAATATCTTAAACCTAATTATATGTTAATATCGATTTCCATATGCTAGAATTAGGGTTTATAGTCTTGGATAACTTGCATGTACAATAGATAAACCTAGATCCAAACATTAGGGCTTGTATGAGCACATAGGATGTTCTTATGACCAAAACCCATCACGATGTCGGTTGTTATAGAGGTGAAGTCACATCGATGGTGGTAACATCAGATCTGAATGTCAGGTCTGTTGGCAGTGATTTCCATCAGATCTATTGTTCCGACGAAGCAAATCAGAGAAGTTCTCTTGTATTCTAGCAAACATGGATGTTAAAGATCTGGAGACGAACTAGATCTGGACTTCAGAGCAGAGTGTGATGTTTTTTGGTGTTCCAACGAAGCACAATAGTTGATGTTAGGTGTTGGTCGGTGGTGATACGGTTGATTATCATATCTAACCAAATTGCACCAGCTCTGATATGTTTTGTGTTTTATAGAGAGAAAGTAAAGCTAAAACAACTTCTTGACTTCAGATCTGAAACCAAATGGCGATCGACAGTGATGGAGGAAGGTGATGGTCAACACCGCTCGCTGAGCCCATAATCCGGAGGAGAAAATCGAAGATCTGAAGTCGAAAATAGGAAATCTGAAGACAAAAATTGTAGACCTGAAGAGAGAAATCATAGATCTAAATCTGAAATTGTAGATCTGAAGAGGAAAATCGTAGATCTAAAGCTGAAACTGTAGATCTGTAGCCAACGGGAACTTGTGGATCTGATGGCAGTGATTCGTCGGTAGTATGAGGCGGTGGCAGTTAAGGGTGGTGGCTAACTGGTGGTAATGTTTGTGTGTTCTCCAAGTTTGAGATGAGAGAGAAAATAACCATGTAAGAATGTATGTAGTGTGTAGATCTGGTTATAAAATGAGGTTCTTACGGTTGTTAATTTTTCGTGGTTCTCATTTGAACCTTTACCTATATATATATATATATATATATATATATATATATATATATATATATATATATATATATATATTATATATATATATATATATATATATATATATATAAACACAAACATACACTAGGCGTAACCTCGCGCATTTAAGGGGTTAAAATAATTATGGAGAAAAACAGAAATATGTTGAAATTTACGTTTTTAGTCATGTTTTGGGTATTAACCGAATTATCAAATAATATAAAAATCCATAAACTTATATTTTGATACTATCTAATATAGTCCATACCTTATAAACTTTACTTTTACTTTTATAATATCTAATATATATTATAATTTTTTGTATAACATTAATATAATCTACTTTTCTTATGTTCGATGATATTTTTTTGGATAAAATAAGAAATAAGTTGTTTTGAATAAGCTATTAATATACAATATTGAGCTAACAATCTTTGTAATACACTATTTATATTACACTAAAACATCCAAGGTTTATATATGAACTTTCAAATATTAAACAGTCTTTGTATTACACTATTTATATTACACTAAAACATCCAATGTTTCATATATGAACTTTCAAATATTAAACATTAAAATTAAGAATGAATTCATACAAAATATATCATTATACATAAATATCGTCAAAAGTTTTAAAATAAATCGATTAATAAATATGATATTTGATTTTAATTACATGTTTTGCAAGACATGCGTTTGACTTTATGTTGGTGCGCCGAGAATCCTCTTCCTTAATTTATTCCGAAAAAATTAAGGTTTATAGGAATATAAAATAGATATTACTAAGCATTAATATAAATAATTAAAACGAGTATGTGGATCTCCTACCACCAGTTAAAGACAACATACATCTCTAGTGGTATCGATTCCTATGTTAAATTGAAGTAGTCATTCTATTTACACATTGTTTTCTAATTACATATATATATATATATATATATATATATATATATATATATATATATATATATATATATATATATATATATATATATAGAGAGAGAGAGAGAGAGAGATAGAGAGAAAGAGAGAGA